ACTGTCCAAGTCAACTCAAAATTTGACCTTTTCTCGGGTTTTCCCAATTTTAACCCCATTTCAGATCGATTCTCATAGAAAATCTTATGGTTTCAGAAACTAGACACAATAAGGAGTACGTGGAAGAAAATTTGAAGTAATTCAGATACTAGAAGCTCAAGAATGGACGTCCCAAACGTCGACGACGAGGCAAGTAGCCACCTTGGATTTTTTGTTAAGAAATACTTGTAGAAATTGCTTGGATTTTCATATAAACCCTAAACCAAGTATGAATTAAGGATATATGTATGAAAAACCCAAAGAATCGTGAGTTAAGACCCTGAACCTATCAAATAGCTCGAGATTTAAGTAACGTTAAAATAACCCACTAATGAGCTCCGCTGCATATCAAATTTTAATACTGAGCATATTATATTATGTTGAGGTTAGATATGAAATTTAGTGGTCATTGGATAAGGATAAGTAGGTAAACCAAGAAACGGTGTAAAATGACCATAATGCCCCTAAGGTAATTTACCTTCGGTTCATGACTTAGATGACCTTCAAATGCTATGAAATTCATCAGTAGATCTTATTTTATGAAATGTTATATGAATCCTTATCCCAAGAGGTTATATAAGGTAATGAAGTTTGGGAGTTATTGGAAAACTTTAGTTAACGAAACCAAGATATGGGAGAAAATTCTCATCACGATCCATATGACCTTTTCCATGAAGCACGATGTTTATAAGTTTTGTAGTCAATGTTGCCAATGTTTGCTGCACACAAAAAATGATAGGGATGTTAAATTTTCAAGTCACTCTCGGAAAGTATGGTGGATAAATTGGGTACCAAATTATTGTTTTCAACTAAATGTCATCCTCAGACTCACGAGCAAACTGAGGTAGTTAATAAAATATCAGCAACATTGCTTAGGGCTATTATTTATAAGAATATTAAGTCAATGTTGCCAATGGACTTACTGCGCTTCCCGCGTCTTACCACCTGATACACAAGGGCTATTCGCTCAGGTATCACATACTCCAAATTCTTTTGATCTGTCATATCCTCCTCCTGGTTTCTGCAACATCGCTCTTGAAGATCGAGTAACTCCTCTTCCCTCACGAAAATTGAGAGGCTCTGATACCATTCCTACGCTTAATGACTTGAGCCCTTACAATTTACATAAGCTCTGTCATCCTAGCTTAATTAATACAAGTTTTTACATAATTACATATTTTTACATCAATTTCAAAATCCCTATGTTCATCAATTTCTCAATGAAATGATGAAATAGGAAAAAGTACATCAATAATAAGAAAAACTAATAATAAGAAAACACCAAAAGAAGGAAAGTTGAAGAAGTGAAATGGAATATGTCAGGGAACATATTCCATTCACTGATTTATTTATTTATTTTTTATTTTTTATTTTTTTACAATTAGTTTAACGACTATTCGGTCAATGAGATGATGATTTCTACAAAGGTGGTTGAAAATCCAAAAATGGATCATTGAGATCATAGATCGTGTCTTCATCTTCTTCCTCTATAATAGAAGGAGAAGACGTCGAACCAACTGATGTGGCCTCTTGAAGAAGCTTTTGAAAATCAGCTTCTGAAGTTGTCTAGGCTAATGCAGCGAGTAGCTTCGACTTTGAATTTAGAAATTCGGAGGTCCTCTTCTTAGATAAATCCTGAAGGTGGCCATTCTCAAATAGCCAGACCTTTACCGCTTTGATGTCCGCGTGGGTATAAGTATATTTATCCCACCATTTGATTTTGATAGTTTTGAAGACTTGTTTTACATGGTCTTCGGTTTCTTTAATTTGAAAATTTCAAGTTAAAATCCAAGGAATTTGAAAGTATACGCAAAAGCGCATGGTTAATGGAAATGGGATTTTGAATATATTTTGAACGAAGTAGTGGAACGATTATTATATTGGAACTGGAAATATATCTTTCGCTGATCCAAAGATTTTCCACCATTTGATGAACCAAAATGGGTAATGAATTTTATGAGCATTCTGGCAGAATTGAATAAACCATGAGTGCTCGTAATTTTGATACCAAATGACATTGAACCATGCCATCTGATAATCTCTATATGAGTAAGAATGAGGAACAAAAGGTTTTGAAAAAGTCTTTTCCGTGCATGGATCTTGATTCCAATACGTCGGATTCATGACTTTGAAAATTTTTAATTTTGAATACGCGATTTTCGAAGGATCGTCGCGACTCGGAATATGAGTAATTTCAACGGATTTTGTATCAACAAGAATAAATTCATAAAACCTTCTGGTCTTATGAAGATCTTCTGGGATATAAAAGAATCCCGATGGATAGGCTTTTTTAACGACTTCGCCGATTTTCGGGTCGTCGTATTCTGGTTCTACTAGAGCTTCTGGTATAGACACAGATTTAAGTAGGTTTTGATTTCAGGAACTGGAGAAAAACGAACGGGAACAACCGCGTCAGAGTAGGTTGAGGGGACAGAAGGTCCCTTTGAAGTGGAAGAGACAGTAGGTCTTGGAGTAGCGGCAGATGGCCATGTTGAAGAGGCAGAAGGCCTCGTCGGAGTGATAACCTCCACCTGTGTTTGAGAAAGCTTTGCTTTAGATCTGGTCACCTATGTGAAACCGACATCCATCGCATAGCTGTCGGTTGTCATTGGAGTATGTGTGCTTGAAGAAGCATTGGGCTTCTTCCCTTTTTCGATCACTTTCTTTCCGGTCATGGTTGGGAGAAGGAGATTGGATAGGGAGAATTTTTCTTTGAGAGTAAGAACTCTCTTGAGAGGTAATCTGCCAAGGGGTTTTCGATCCCTTTTATAGGCAAAATTTGGAAGTCGAAGCAAGATAAAATGGCTTGCCATCTAGCAAAAATTTGTTTAGACACAAGATTCTTGACATCTTTTTCTAAAACAAATTTAGATGCCCTTGAATCTGTTTTGATAACAAAGCTTTTGTTAATTAAATCACTTTGAAATTTTTGTACACATAGTACTATTGAAAGTATTTCTTTCTTTACTGTTGAGTAATTTTTTTTAGTAGAATTCCATATTCCCGAATGGAAACGGACAATAGATTCTTTCTTGTCAAGGGACTGTTTTAGGATTCCTCCATATCCAATATCGGATGCGTCGGTCTCCACTATTAAACTAGCCCTTGGGTTTATCAGCGATAAACACGGAATTGACTTGACAAGGGATTTGATTTTTTGTACTGTTCTGGTGTGTTCTTCCGTCCAGGGCTTTGGATTCTTTTTAAGCCTTTCAAAAAGTGGCTTGCAGATGGGTCTGATATTTTGAAGGAAATTAGACACATAATTGAGACATCCCAAAAATTTTTGTAGTTGTGTTTTATATATAATTTGGTCTGGAAAGTTTGAGGCAAACTCAATGGACCTTTGAATGGGTTTAATTTGACCCAAATGAATTTCAAATCCAAGAAAACGGATTTTTGTTTGAAAAAGTTTAATTTTGGGTTTAGACACAACTAAACCGTTTCTTTTGACTGTTGTAAAAAATGTTTGGAGATGCTTAAAGTGTTGATCGATGTTTTGAGAAAAAATCAGAACATCGTCAATATAAACAATTGAAAAGTCTTGAAAAGGATTGAAAATATCATTCATAATCTTTTGAAATTCAGATGGAGCGTTTTTTAGCCCAAATGGCATAACGTTCCATTCGTATTGTCCGAAAGGGACATTGAAAGCCGTTTTGTACTTGTCTTTTTCTGAAATCTGGATTTGCCAAAATCCTGATTTCATATCAAATTTTGAAAATATTTTTGCATTTGAAATTCTTTGCATTAAATCTAATTTATTTGAAATTGGATATCTAATCCATTCCAAAACCTTATTTAAGGGTTTGTAGTTAATTACCAGTCACGGGACTCCACATTCCTTTTCTGCCTGGTTGTTGACGTAAAAAGCCGCACATGACCAGGGGCTCTTTGACGGTCTAATAAGACCTTTCTGCAAAAGATCATTAATTTCTGCTTTGCATAATGTTAGTAATTCTTTATTCATTTGAATAGGTCGGACCTTCGTAGGAATATTTTTCTCCTCGAAAGTTTTGATATAAGGAAGATCAACTATGTGTTGTTTCCTATTCCAAAAGGCATTTGGGATATTTGAACAAATTTCCTTTTCTATTTGAGTTTGTAAAGTTTTGATTTTAGATTGGACAGTCTTATTTTGAATCTGTTCTTCTATTCTTTTGAATGAAATTTCTTCTTTTAAAAAAGAAATTTGTTTTTCTTTATTTTTTTTAATACATTTATTGATTGAATAATTGTATTCTTTTGAAGGTTATTTATTTCACTAATCTTTATTTTTTTAATACATTTATTGATTGAATAATTGTATTCTTTTGAAGGTTATTTATTTCACTAATCTTTATCGGGGAAAGAAAATTAAATTTTATCTTCTTTCCTAAGTCTTTTGATTCTAACCCTTTTTCAGTTATTCTAAAAGGATATAATTGAGTAATGAAAGGAGTACCTAGGATTAATTCTTGTCCAAAGTCTTTTACTAAAAGGAAGGAATTTACGAAGCAAATTCCATCATTGCAAACATGAACTTTTGATAGTTTGTAATTAATTTTGAGTTTGTTGTTGTTAGCATCTCTAAGGCCCTCAGTAGTTTTTTCAAAATACTTTGTAGGTATTAGGCCTTCTTGAATGCAATTTTGCTTGGCTCCCGTATCTATGAGAGCATTTAGTGTAATTTTGAAATCATAAATTTTTAAGGTAACGAGAGCGTACCATTTTTGATATTGAGAAGTTGTGATGGCTCCAACGAAGGAACTTTGAAAATCTTTTTCATCCAGGTTTGGTTGCGCCGTTTCCCTTCGTTCGGGCAGCCTTTCCTGAAGATTGAGAATTTCTTGACGAAGCATATAAGATTCTGACCTGGTTTCAAATCTTAACGCCTGTACCTCTTGTTTGAGATTATTAATCTCTTTTTGTAAATCTTGAGTAGTGAGTTCCCTTGGTTTTTCAAATCTTTGGAGAACAGACTAGAGTCTGTAGGGATTTCTTTCTTCCCTTTCAGGTGGCTTAGAGATTGTCATGGCATCTCTAAGTCGTTGAGCAATTTTCTGTTGAATTTCTGGATCTTGAACTTTTTCTACTACTTCGAGTAGAATTTCTTGATCCTTTGTGAGTACATTTATGCATCCTTCGCATGTCCTTTTTCCCTCCTGTTCTGATTCGTATTCTGTGCTAGAATATGAATCGGATTCTTCTTGGAGTTCGAGGATTTCTCCCTCGCTTGATTGCTCTGAGTCGGTTAGGGTCAGTGGTAATAGCTGATTTTTCAGCTCTTGATCTATATCCAACTCATTGATCTTTCCTCTGATTGGACACTTGTTAGCATAGTGTCCTTCTTCACGACATTTGAAGCAAGTTTGTTTTTTCTTTCCTCCATGGGTTTTTGTAGGAATATACTTCCTTCTTGAATATGCTGGCTTTTGAGACTGCACGGGTTTATTCCGATATGTTTCTCTAGGCCTGTATGAATGATAAGGTTTTGGATGCGTCTTAACCTTGTTTCGTATAGAGGTTGAGGGAGCTTCTATTCCCTTGCATCCATATTGATCGCAAAATCTTCCAAGCTCTTTTCTATTTGATATTGAAGAATTGAGCTTGTTTTGAATCTTTGACTCATTATAAAGCCTGAGTCCTTCTTCTATGATGAAGGATGCTATGGATCCGTATGACAGAGTCTGCCATGGAATTGTTCCATTGTGCTTTGTCTTGAGACCATCTTTGATCCTCCTTGAAAAGTGTTTTGGTAGTCCATTGACAAAATTCTCTTTCCAGAATTCCAACGAACTATCTGTTCTAATAAGAACTTTGCTGAAGTACATGTCTTTGTACCACCTGAAATCACCTAAGGTAGGGCATTTCAGATTCATGAGTATCTCGGCGGATCTCTCCTGGTATTTCAGAGGGTCGCCGACGAAGAATTCTATGAGGGTATATATGAGGGTGTTGACAGCATCCTCTACCCTTTCATGTTGTATTTCGGTTCTAGTTGATGGACCTTCTTCTTTGATGATCTGAGTAGTTGGCCTAATGACATAGTGATTTAATATCTATTGGCGAGTTGTTTCGTCGAGATATTTGTCCCACCAGTCTTTGAGTTGCCTGGTAAATCCGGTTACTAAAACTTGAGCTATCTGATGGTCGGATTTATGGCCCTGTAATTTTTACGCGCCTGCAGCCATCATCATCTCATTGACAACATTCATTATCAGATAGTCAGACAATCCGTCGATATTCCATTCATAGATTGCTAGACCATCGTAATGAGCTTGAGTTTGCAGTGTCTTTT